TTACTTATATATATATATATATATATATATATATATGGATTTGTCTAGAATTAACAACCCCTCAAAATACAAGGGTTCAAGTTAGAAGGGGTTGTTATGGGTGTATTTATCAAAATAATCGTTACTTTTTTATTAAAAAATTATTTAAATAAGTAACTTTACCATTAAGCAAGGGTGAATTTGAAATTTTTAAAAAGGAAAATAGTATTTTAGAAGTTAATATCCTGAAATTTTATTTGTAGAGTGCCTTTGTCCTTCAGTTAAAATTTCAATTTTACCCCTTATGGAGATGGCAAAGTTACCCTTTATTTTGTAGTAATATTTAAAAAATTGCTCTACAAAAGTAACTTTTTTTAAACAATAAACTACAAAATTAATAAATCCGCCATTCACAACTCTCACCATCTTGAGCCTTTGCAATTTGAAAGGTTGTGAAGTTTAGAATATATATATATATATATATATATGAAAAAAACACTTTCGAACGCCTTTAGGTGAAAAAGTAACAGTAATATCGCCACATTACCATCGACCATTCGTTCAAATTACATCAAATTAAATCGAATATTTCACCTGCGAACGGTTCAGATGTGCGAACAAAACCCAGCGCGCGAAGGCTCAAAAGCTTCAAACCTTCCATATTTCACCTGCTATCGTCCCCTGCTCTGCTAACCTCCCTTCTCTCTCGCTCGCCCTCTCTACTGCTCTGCGAAGGTCCCTTCCCTCCTGTCGCCCTCTCTACTGCTCTGCGAAGGTCCCCTCACTTTCTTTGTGTTGCTGCCCCACATTCTCTCTGCGAACTTCCTAGACGCTTTAGAGAGAAGAAAGCTTCTTCATGGAGGTTTTAGTGAAGAGAGGGAAAGCCAAATCACAAGAAGGAGGATGTACCAAAATGCGTGCTACCTCTTAGCTACTGAAGAACTCCCAGTCAATCATGTCTTTCTTGTGGTAAATTAGAATTTTTTTCTTTTTTCATTCGTTTTATTCATGCAAGAAAATTTCAGGGGAATATCAGTTTTTGTTCAGTTAATTTTTGGGGTATGTGATGAATATCCAGATAATTATGATGTGGGTTTTGGTTTTTTCTATGAATCCGTATGCGTCGTGAACTTGCAGAAGATTGGAAAATTTAATAATTGAGTTTCTTTTAGCATTTCTTCTTTTGTTTTTCAAACTAGGTTTTCTTTCTCATTTTTTTATGGCCTCATAGCATATTCTAGATGTTACCAAATAATATTTCATGGGTTTGATTTAGAAACATTTAATTTGGAATCTCATGATTTAAATAACCATTTTTTATATGAAATTGGAGGGCAGTTACATTTTTACAATGGTATTTGGAAGGATTAATGGATAACATGATTTATTTTGGGTGAATCTGTTTTTTCATTTCTCTCATCTTTTACAGGTCTTTTGATCGGTAATGCAACGAATACAGTTGAATCTATAACTTGAAGAAGTTGTAATGAATACGGTTGAATGCCCGAAAAGAAAAAATAATTCCTGACTTTCAATTGAAATTTTAATACAATTATTTGATTTTATGTTATGCTTCTATTCTTTGTTTCACAATGCAACTTTTTCTTTTATTTTTTATATAAATATGGGTTCAGTATTCATTTCCCTGTTTTGTGAGTTTTTTTGTTGGGAATTTGAATTTGAGAAATGGAATTTTTTGGTCATATTCATTTAATTTCTTTAGTCGCCTCCATGTATTTTATTTGTTCTCTTTTGGGGAAGTGGGTTCATGTCCAACTGGCTAGTGAGACTGAAGGAAGTGATTTGGGCATTTTTCATCAAAATGCAGGGAGGGGTTCTTGAGTGTTTTCAGCTGATAGACTTCTAAATTGTTTTTCAAGATGCTGAAATGTTAATGCAGCTGATGGCAAGCATATGATTGTCAGCCATTCACCAGTTTTAGCCGTATTGGCCATAATTGAACCAAGATATGAACTTGGTTTTCTCATCTTTTTTATGACAATGGTGAATTTTCATGCATTTGAATTTAGGATTTGGGTGAAGTTCAGCCAAGAATCTAAAGAGATTATGTAGTCGCCCTTTGATTATTCGTTCAACTTAAATTCTTAATAGACTGAAATCTAATTTCAGCTTCAGCTCTAGGTTCCGGAGTTGGAGTTTGAAATGAAATCTTGGGGTTTTATGTTGCTTACTTACTATTAATGGTGCAAATAGGTTTATGCTAGATGAGCTTTTGTCTCAAGTATTGGAGGTTGTTCTTGTCATCCGGGGTCTTGCAGTACAAAAAAAATAATTGATAAGTGATTGCAATCGGCAATTGAATCTATCTCTTGGACATGTCTTTTGCTTGAGAGTAGTGAAAACAAGCGCCATTTCATACGAGCCTGCATTTCTGGTTTGCAGATCCTTGGAGAACAAAGAAAGGGACGAAAATCTCTGGTATGGGATAGATAAGCAGTAGTCTTTGTTTTCTCTGTTATAATTAATCGGATAGATAAGTAGTAGTCTTTGTTTTCTCTAAATTGCTTTAGTATTCATTATTGTGTTATTTTTGCCAATTAACATTTGGTGTTATAATGTAGTGGGAGGACATCCACCGTAGCACAGACCTCTTGAGGCATTTGGCTCCATATGAAAGTATTATCCAATTCCATTAGAGGAACCGCAGGAGAACAATGCGAAGGATGATGTACTTGGGGACATTGGAGAGAGTAGCTTCCGATCGAAGGATCAGATCCTGACACAGCCCATTACTATACCAGCGCTAACAGAGGAGGTTGAACAGTTATACTATGCTTGTGTCATGGATGCCTCACCATCAGCATCTCGTTCCTCTTCCCTCAACATTACTAATTCAAAAAATGGAAATGAGTGTGGTGCGCAGGCTATAGTGGACGAAGCTTGTCATGATTTTCCATCTGATGAGGACATAGTTGCAATAAATGGAGAAGGAGATCCATTACTTATAGATGTTGAAGCAGCCCTAGCAAGTGTGCAAGTATCGAACTGGCAATAGGAATGGCATTTACTAACGAAGATGAAGCTTATGATTATTATAATAAATACGTAAAATTGGTAGAGTTTGGTATAAGAAAGGAAAGGACCATATGGAAACATGGTGGAAGAATTAGTCGGATTTTAGAATACTGTAGGCAAGGTTTTCGTAGTGAGATGTATGATGGTAGTGAAAATGCTCGCCCCCACACAAAATATGGATGTCAAGCAAAGATCTGCATTAAGAAGAATGAAAATAATAGATGGGTTATTGCGAAGGTTGTAAAAGAGCATAATCACATTCTCACAACACCCAATATTACTAGATTCATTCGCTCTCACCGAAAGATACCAAACACAGTGAAAAGGGTGATTGACACAATGGAGTCTTCTATGGCTAAGTCTAGGGTTATGATGAATTACCTTGTTGAAGAGGTTGGTAGGGCAGAAAATGTCACTTTAATTGCGAAAGACCTTGAGAATCACATAACTAGAAAAAAAAAACAACTGAAAGGGAAAGAGGGTAATGTTGTTATGAATTGGTTGCATACGAAGAATGAATTGGACCCTAATTTCTTTTATAGAGTTCGACTTGATGAGATGGGGAGGTCGTTTGGTGTTTTATCGGTTGATTCAAAGTGTAGATCGTCATACCAATTTTTTAATGACGTGGTAACCTTTGACACCATATACCAAACAAATGAATACAGTATGGCCTTTGGCCCAATCCTTGGAGTTAATCATCACGCTAACACAATTTTCCTCGTATGTGATCTCATATTCAATGAGACTACAGAAACCTTCATTTGGTTATTTGAAAACTGACTAGAGGCAATGGGAGGCCGTCAACCAGGTACAATTATCACTGGTCAAGCTTTAGCCATAACGGCTGCAGTCAAGACAGTTTTTCCGAATACTAATCATCATTATTGCAAGTGGCATATCATAGGAAAGTTTAAAACACATCTAAGCCATGTTGAGCGTGAGCACCCATTATTCTTAGAGGTATTTAAGAAGTGTATTGCAGCCTACACAGTTGAGCAGTTTGAGGCTGATTGGTTGACTATGATTCAGAAATATGATCTTCAAGAGGAAAGTTGGCTCAAGTGGCTATATGGTTGTGGCACTCAATAGTTGATGCATACATAGCTAATAGGTTCACAGTCGGCATGAAAACCACACAACGAAGTGAAGGGTTTAATCGTTATTTAAAGATGTACGTCACTTCTGGTACAGGTTTACAAAAATTCATGAATGCTATTGAAAAGTTGCAAAACAAAAAGTTCATCAAAGAAAAAGAGAAAGATAGTAAAGATCTTATATCTACACCTGTTCTAAAGAAAACCTTCCTTATCAAGGAGCATGCAGCAACGACATACACTCAAAAAGTATTTAGAAAGTTCCAAGAAGAGGATATAAGGTCTTCAAATTGCCTTAGCAAATTAATAGAAGGCAATGATGAATTCGCCAAATATAAGGTGGAAGACATTGGCGATGTGCCAATCTCTCTGATGGTTGCATTCATTGAATCAGGGAAGAAGTGTACATGCACATATCAGTTCTTTGAGCGTATTGGGATCCCTTGTTCACATATGCTCAAAGTGTTCAACACGATGAATGTATTGAAGATCCCATCTAACTACATTTTGAGCCGTTGGAGAGTGGATGCAAAGAAGGGTGTCAAAGATAAATGTGGTGTTAGTAGTTCGACTATATCTAAATTTCCGAGTTTCATTCGACGTCATGAGCTTTATGATCTTGTGAGAACAATTGTAAAGTCAGCATTAGAAAATGATGATCTATTTGAAAAAGTGAAGTTGGGTTTCTCCAAGTTAGTTGAGGAGGTCAATGCAACAAGGGAGTCTTTGTCAAATACTCAAGCACCGTCAGCCTCCACTCATTGCCATGCCGCTGAAGATGAAATATGTGGCAGTATTTGGGTCCACCATATGCACAAGCAGTTGGACAACCAAGGACTAAAAGGATAAAACCTTCATGGGACAAAGGGCCAAAAGCTTCTACGCAAAAAAAGCAGTCGCAGGAAGGGTCACCCATTGGAAGGAAGTGTAAAGTTTGCAATAAGAGTGGACATGACAAATGTAACTGCCCCATGAGGGTGCGTGGGATGTAGAGCTACTGAGGACCTCGAGCCGAGTTGACTAATTTTTTGACTAATTTGTGGAAAAAGTAAAGGACTAGAGTAATTTTTTGATTTTTGGAGATATGTAAATACCCCTTTTTGTAGAAGTATTAGGGGGTTATGTGAATATTCAATATGCATGTAATTTTATGGGCATGTAAAGGACCGCTTTATGGGGGCATGTAAAGGACCTCTTTATGCGACATGAAAAGGACCGCTTTATGGGGGCATGTAAAGGACCTCTTTATGTGAATACATCAGAGGGCGTGCAGAAAAAAGAACTTGAGAATTTCATTCACAAAAGATTATGTGTGTTTCATTGTAGCTGATGACCAGATCTATCTCTCTCTCTCTC